ACTATAATCCCCCCTTTCTTAAAAATGGTTTTTGATTATGACATTATGGATGATTTTTATTTTCTTCTGTTTGCTTTCCCTAAGTAGCCATTTTTCTAAAAATAAACATATTTAGAAAAGGAAAATTTTAAGAAAAAAAAGTGGTCTACACAAACCAAAATAGTTCAGTTGTTTCTTCTCTTTGGTAAGTGCCATAGGAAAGGTCAGGAAGGATTATGGGTATCAGAAGAAAAGTTTCTTCCAACTAAATAACCATCAGGCAACGCCACCTCCTCCATGAAGGCTTTGCCCCTCCTTCTAGCTGGAAACAATTATTCTCTCCTCTAAAATCATTAGTCCCTTTTCTGTACCATTCCTATGACAATTATTACTTTGTATCTTAGACTTACATTTTCTTGGTAAAATACATCATGTTTATAACCTTGGTTCCTTATAGCACATCTATCCTGACATTGTAAACTCTCTGAGGATAAGACCCACTCCCCATTCCATTCAAATAAATTGACTTGAAAGCTATTGGGCACTAAAATATATGAGGGAAGACAAATGACAGAAGGGAGGTACAGGGCAATAAAAAACAAGAAAAAAGAAAGGGAAAGGAAATAGAAGATGGAAGGAAGAAGGGCAGAGGTGGCAAGAAGAATGATAATGACTAGGACATAGCCACCATGCTCAAGTTCACTATCTAGTACAGAAGACATTTACATAAACAACTATGATAATGTATAATAAGTGCTATAAAATAAAATATGGACAAGAAGCACAGTATATCTACTGGTAATATCTCCACCAATATACAAAAAGGCTGACTCTACTTCTTCACTTCAGCTTCCCTAAAGGGGAACAATAATTATGTCAACCATTTATTTTGTTATAAATGGGATAAAACTAAAACACCAAAATCCAAGTAGCATAGTAACTTCCAGTATTTGCCCATTTTTATTCAAGAGTTAATATTTTAAGGAAAACCAAATTAGGTACGCTGTGTATTTATGTGCAGATGAGCTTTAATGACACTCAGAATGGGAGTCCCTCCCTGAAACAAGTAGGGCAAATTCCAAAAGACACGATGCCGTGGTAGTTACGGAAGATGGCTGGCCACTGCTGCACCCTTTCAATTGTCCTACTGGGAAAAAGGAAAAAAAAAAATGTTTGGCTCTCCAAAAGATTGTGGGAAAAACATAGGCTTAACTCCTTTGGTAATCTGACATTGCCAACATCTGTCAGTATGGACAAAGGCCAGGGTTAATTAAGCATACAAAACATGCAGCCATATTTAAAAACTAAGCCATTTCATTTCATAGAGAGACTGAGAAAGCAAGACCAACCAAAAGAGAATCAAGGATAGTAATACTTCTCTTTAAACTGGTATTGTAATAATTGAAACTTAAAAGGTATGGACCGGGGTGCCTGGGTGGCTCAGTCATAAAGCGTCTGCCTTCGGCTCAGGTCATGATCCCAGGGTCCTGGGATCGAGTCCCGCATCGGGCTCCCTGCTCGGCGGGAAGCCTGCTTCTCCCTCTCCCACTCCCCCTGCTTGTGTTCCCTCTCTCGCTGTACCTCTGTCAAATAAATAAATAACATCTTAAAAAAAAAACTGTTATTAAAAAAATAATAAAAAAAGGTATGGACCTAATTAAAATGTCACAGCCCTTCGCAATAATGTTTTTATTTTACTAATTTTTGAGAGAGAGAGAGAAAACGCACACAAGCATGGGGGAGGGGCAGAGGAAAAGGGACAGAGAGAATCCTGAGCTCAGGGCTTGTTCTCACAACCCTGAGACCATGACCTGAGCTGAAACCAAGAGTCTGACACTTAACCAACTGAGCCACCCAGGCGCCCCACTGTTGTTGTTGTTGTTTAATTCTAACATTTCCCATCTGCTTGTTATAGAAAGAAGACAAATTTAAGGACATATCTGTTCTACACCATACTTAATCACAACTAAAACTGCAACCAAAAGTCATGGACTTGAAGTTTAAATCATGAAACAATTCAAACAGAGGCAAATATTCTACCAAAATATATTAGGAAACAAGACCCTATTCAATATTTTGATTCACAGAATATGGTGTTTTCCCGAATACTGTTCTGAAATAGTGTAGGGCTAAACAATGTGGAACAGTAATACTGTGGGACAGTCAGGGTAACTAGGTCTGCTACTTAATCATTTGCTAAATGAAGAGCCAGGTCTGATTCTACCTCTAAAGTTCTATTATCTGTATAGATAAAGATAATTAGCACCCACTCACTGAAAGTCAACTCTGCGCAAGGCAGTCTATTAGACCACGGAGGAAAGAGGAAAACCTGCTCTGTAGAGGATTACACACTGCCGCATAATGATCACACACCAAAAACGAAGTGCTAAATAAATTCATTCATAAGGGCTCCATCTGCAAGACAAAGAGGCAATACCACAAGGTCTCTGAAAATCTTGAGAAACAGGGGTGGTTATGACAAAAGTTAGAGTTAGGCCAGAAAAAAAAAAAAGGAAGTCTCTGGAGCAGAAAGGAGGAAGAGTGATTCCAACCCACAAGCAGTGTAGAACAGTAGAAAGACTGCAGTGAAAATCAAGACGTGAGGTCTAGACCCTGATAAAACCCAGCTGTTTCCTCTTCTATATAATGAAAGGGCTGACAGAAGAACCCACCACAACCCGTAGTTATCTAAAGTTCGCCTATGACAAGACCTCGAAGTTTTGCACCAGGTTTACTTTCTTATGCTTCTACAGCATTACTCCAGCTACCAGACTCATCTACTGAGAAGGCAGGCAGGCGTAAGTGGGACTTTGATTCGCGTGGGAGATGTTCAACGAGAGACAGAAATGCAGCCGTGAAGGCCCAGCTGGGGTCAGAACGACGGTACAGCAGGTGTCAGCCAAGTTTTGAGAGCAGACTTTCAGAGTTACTATTTTAAGTTAAAAGTTACAGAACAGAAAGACAGTAAAGTTGGCAAAAGCAGATCTGTATTCTACATCTAGCTCTACCACTAACACTCTGAACAGCACGATTTTGAGAAAGTTTTAAGTATAATTAACATACGTTATATTAGTTTCAGGTGTACAACACATTGCTTCAACAATTCTATACATTACTCGATGCCCACCATGATAAGTGTAGATTCTGAAGAAATTACATCTTTTTTTGCCATGCTTAAGCTAGGAATAACCCCCAATATCTATCCCCCTCCAATACCAAAAACGTTAAAGTTAGTAAGACAGTGCAAGCAAGGACCTAATTTTCCTAAGGGCATTCACCACAACTGTCATGATCAAAACTACCCTAGGCAATGAGCATGACATGCGTGCTCAGCAAAAATGTACTTAATTAATGTGAAAATTCAGTTAAAAATAAGAATACTAAAGAACGGTACTTATTAATAAACAATCATAAAAACTTATTAATCAGCACGATAAACCCAAACACCAACTGACTATTACAGACAGAATTACTTGAGACCACCATCAGGAGAAGGGAAAAAGACAAAATAAAATCACAGGTTCCTACCTGGTTGCTTGGATCTAGGCCAGCATAAGAATTTCTTGAACTGCAACCAACTGGGGGTGTGGCCTCTCGAATGAACTCAGACATTTCAATCCCTCCACCAGGATCACTGTGGGGAAAAAATGAGAAAAAGAGAGTGATTGTCATTATTCTGCCACCAATGGTTTTTTATTATTTTTTAAATTATACCTTTTCCTATAAAACTAAAAGGTTCTATTTCTAACAGAGCAAACAGCAATTAAAAAAAAGATCATTCTTCATTTGTAAGTCTTATAATCTGAACTATCTTATAACCACGTCATTACTTGAAAATATTTAAAACTCTCTCCCAGTCTATACCCAATTCAACTTTAGAAACTAGCCTTAGTTACAATTATAGATGCTAAATGTAGCGCATATTTTATGACATGTGCCATAAAACCCCTCTAGCAAAGACATGATTTGCCTTTTGTTTCCCAACAACAAGGAGAAATTGGCCGTGGCAAACACAGAAAGTAATCAGATCTTACACGGCCACTCTCCGGGAGCACACTCTGAGCTCGAGGAACATGCAAGAGAACAGTCCACCTTGTCAAGCTAACTCTATCTGTATTTTTTATGTTAACAGCATTTATATGGGATACTAACTTGTTTTACAGAAGTAGAAAGCTAAGATTATAGATTTGTACTGAATTAGAAGGCTTAAGTTTAAAAAATAAAATAATGTAGTAGAACAGGTATTAGAAAGACAAGAGAAAAGTACTAAGTTCAAAGAACAGAAGACGTCTACACAGAGTACTTAAAGACAGGATCTAAAATTAGGGGGAAAGATCACACCAAATTTCAAAAAACTTAGAGAGTTTTATAATAAGGTTCCTCAGGAACATAACTTTTAGAATAACTCAGGCCTAAAAGTTACCATAATCCTGTTTTTTACCCAAAGATTTTTACTCATTCTACCTGGTACATACAAAGTAAGTACTTGATAAAGTTACTGTTACCAAGGATAAAAGTTCTAGTATACATGCTAGAATTATAGCAGATATAAACTACCCTGCTATCCAGCATCTACTTCAATCATCTGGTTAACAACAACACCAAAAAGCAACCCAAAATTCTTCTGTTGAGCCACCTCATCCCAAACTCTCATATGGTTTTGGGTAATGTTGACCATACACTCAGGTCTAGGGGTGAGCACTACTGACCAAAGCCAATCAGCATGTTCCTTTCTTTTGGTCATAGAACTTAGTCCTAGAATAAGCACAAGACCTAACTCAGGCTAATATGAATCAGGCCAGGAGTGTTCTACTATTAAGACAGGTTATTTCTCTATATTTGCTAGTCTTAATGCTGGGAAGATTTAAGGCCTGGCGCTGCTGCAGCCATTTTACAACTGTAAGGGGGGACACTAAGAAGTCAACTGAAAAAAAAAAAAAAAAAAAAGAGCCCAGCCTGGTAAAGGGAAGCCAGATCATGAAATGACTGACACTGCACCTTGCCAATCTGAAGACATCCCTCGCACATAGACTTTTCAGTAGTGTGTGCCATAAATTCCCATAAGCCTATTTTAATGAGGTATTCTGACAGCTGCAAGCAAAAAATACAAGCAAAATAGAATTTGCTTGCAAGTATACCTTCCATTTAATAAGTATTTATCACTACAGCTGTCTGAATTCTAGTGACGTTTCAGTATTAATGGTCTCATAACTATCATGTGTCTGTTTACTTAATGGGTTCCTAACTCTAGGCCATTGACTGCGGTTAGCTAACTCATGTTTATTAAAGAAAATCAGCTAACTTGTTATCCATTTATACAAATAAAATACACTGGAACTCAAGTTACAAATTTGATAGCAATTCAGCATGCAAATGTCCATGTGTGAGAAAAGTGAAACATGCTCAAGTTTGTTAGCTGTTTGGTGTTAACTCATACAAGATACATAGGCCAGAATGAGAAATCTTTTTCTAATTTGGTAAAATCATAAATGTGTACATAGAGACAGCTATCATCACACTGAATGAGTGGTGAGTACTAACCAGCAACATCACTGTTCTCTCCACTGCTCTCCAGAATGCATTCTCTAAGTCAGATTCCACGGAAATCAGAAGATGGAGAGCAAGGTAAAGATTAAGGAATAAAATATTCAACCCCAGAGAAAAGGATAGAGAGCCCTCACTTTTCCTAGTTTATATACATCAACTCTATTGGTATATAATTCACATATCATCCAATGTATCCGTTTAAACTTTGCAAGTCAATAGTTTTTAATATATTCCATAAAGTCATGCAACCAACACATTAATTTTAGAACATTTTTATCACCTCAATAACAAACCCCTTCAGCTATAACCCCCCTACCGTTCCCATCCACCCCCAGCCTTAAGTAGCCAGAAATCTGTTTTCTGTCTTTATAGATTTGCCTATTTTGCATGTTTCATATAAATGGAATCATAATATGTGTGGTCTTTGTGACTGGCTTCTTTCACTTAGCCTAATGTTTTCAAGGTTAATCCACGCTGTAGCAACTATCAGTACTTCATATTTTTTATGGCCAAATAATACTGCATTGTATGGACAGAACACATTTTGTCTATTCATTCATCAGTTGATGGACAATACTGCCTACTTATAGACAAGTACAAATGATTACAATCTGAAGGTAAAGTTATTATAAATAACAAATATTTACTAAGTACTTAATACATTCCAGTAATAGGGGCATGTGCTTTATTTGCATTTTCTCACAAAATATCCTCCTAAAATCTAAGATATAAATACTATTATCCTCATTTTACAGATGAAAAACCTGAAAACCAAAAGGTGTAAAAATCTAAGAGGAGTGAACAACATAAACTGAATTGTTGGTATATGGAGTTCAGGTGGGAAGGGAGGATACAAATAATATTTACATAGTATGCTACAATCTGTTGTATCTGTTTTCTCCTTCCCACACACCTGAATGTAGGTACGTATTGCCAATGAGAACTGAGACAAGATTTGAACACCTTGCCCATACAGCTCTAAAGTTTACTCTAAAACACCAATACTTGTCTTTCAAAAAAAAATAAGCATTAAAGTTTTCTTTCCATTTCAAAACCAAAAATAAACACCATTGTCTAAAAACAGGGTTTCCTAACCTCAGCACTATTGACATTTGGGCCATTTCATTCCTGATTGTGGGGGACCATCTTGTGCATTGTAGGATGGTAGGCATCTTCCCTGACCTCTACCCGCTGAATGCCAGCAGCACTCCCCTCTGGTTGTGATAAACAAAAATGTCTCCAAATATTGCCAGATGTCTCTTTGTGGGGAAAATCACCCCCAACTGAGAAACAATGATCCAGAACCAGTGCCCAATGGCCAACACTGAGTGGGAAGGAGGTATTAAAGGGAGCAAAAAAAGGATGAATGAAAAAATGGATAGCTCCTTTTGTAACAAAATAATCCTCTAGCAAAATTACCATACCTCTCTTTCTACAAATTCAGAAGTAGGTGTCCTAAATATAGCTAAACACACAAAATGGCTGAGTAAGAGTTTTCTTTATTAGCAAGACTTGCAGATTTTTGGCAATGGCAATTTCAGCACATACCTGGAAAGTATAGCAGTTTACAATTCGCACAGAAGCAAAGTGGTCTACTGCAGTAAGCAATACACCAAATTCAGGGAATCTCTACCTTTATGCCTTAATTTCCCCATCTGTTAAAAAAAAAAAATACCAGGTACACGGAGAGGCAGAAAAGCAGAAGGGGTCTAATCTGAATTATAAAGGAGACTTCACAAACTAATTTGTTGGTTATTAGTATCATTAACTGCTCAGGCTTTAATCAGAAACTTCACAGCACCATTACAGTACTAAATTTACAAATCTAATCTAGATCACAACAATGTTCATAAAAGTATAAATAGATAAAAACAAAGTTCTTAAATCTTCAAAAAATTTAGCCTAAAATTTGCCCACATATAGTTTAAATGGGTCCTTAATTTACAGTAGTTCAAGCATTACCGCCATTTGAAACAGAAAATACGGTCTCCAAAATATTTGTATTCAAATCCTAAAATCCAAAGTGCTAATTTCCTCTCCTGAAACATTAGAAAGGTAATACAAATATTAATGACTTTCATTCTTTCTCTAAGATAAAGATTTAAAAGGATTTGTGAACTGCTGTACCAGAGCCAATGACAACCATAAGGCTCAAGTAGTCCTCCTGCATTCATTCATTCATGCAACAAACTGACAACTATACTGTACCAAGCACAGTGATACGCTCTGGAAATGAAAGTATTTTCCTGTTCATTTCTTCTCCTCAGAATGGAATGTGAGTCCCAAGTGGGAGGGTGGGGGAAAACAGATATCAAGAACAAAAAACTACAACAAAGATCTCATTTAACGGTGAAATTTCAAAACACTTTAAGATTAGAAAAAGACAAGGATATAAGCCAATACCATTTTACTTTAACCACGTGCTAGAAATCATAGCCCATGAAAGTTAAACAAGTATAGGACTAGAAAGGGAGAAATAAAACTGTCATCATTTATAGAAAATCAAGAAATACCTATAAAGTTTCAACATTAATAGGGGAGTTTAGTGAGGCTGCTGGGTAAAAACTAAACTGTTATATTTAAAGGGGAAAAAAAACAGAAAAGGTAATTGTAAAACATTTCTGTAATAAAAAAGCTATAAAATAATTTGGCAAATTTAACAAAAGCTATGCAAGTCTTTTAATGAAGAAATGATAAAACTTTACTGAAAGATATTAAAGATGGCTAAATAAATGGAGAGATTCAATACTGTAAAGATATTAATTCTCAGCAGAGGAATCTACATATTCAATGTAATGTCAATAAAAATCCTAAGTTCTTGTAGACTTTGTCCAACAGGCTCTAAGTTTTACATCCAAGAACAAAGAGCCAAGAATAATAGTCACTCCTGAAAAAAAAAAACAAAGTAGGAAGTCTGTCCCACCAAACATCAAAAGTCACGATATGAAGCTACAATGACTGGGACAGTGTGGTAATGGCACAGGCACAAACAACCAGATCAACAGAGCAGGACAGAGAGCCCAGAAACACACCCACCGCATGCGGAAACTTAACTTACGAGAAAGTGAGTACTACACATCACCAAGA